GCATCCCCGCCGCCCCGACAGGAAGCGCAGCGCGCCCCAGCCAGGAGGAAGCGCATCGGCGGGCCGCGGCCTGGGACGAGGAGGCGCACGCCCACCAGGAGCTCCTTCGCAACCCACTGCCGCCCCCACCAGAAAACAAGCAGCAGCGCAACGCCTGGGCGAGGCAGATGACGGCCATGATGACGCACGTAGAAGTCGTGGCGCAGATCAGGGGCCAGGGCGACGGAGGGACAGGCAGAAGCGGGTCCAAGCTCGCGGTCCCAAAATCCCACGGGGCAGCTCCGCCAGCCCTGGAATGCGCGTCCAGCGGCGGGCCCCAGCAAGACAACTGCCCCCGCGCGGAAGGGCGCCACGACCACACCCCTGTCCAAGCAGACGGCCCAAGACGCACCAAGGAACGACGCCTGACGCCCCCCGACTCACTCCCGCCTACGCCGCGGGGCAGCGAGCCAACCTCCGCTCTTCTCGCTGCGCGACCCACGGCGACCAAGTCCGTTGGGGCACCACCGGCCGCCAGCGCAACTCCTTATCCTTTCCCCGAGCACGAAGATCCCAACCGTCGCGAGCGACGGCAAGGGCGCGTCCCAGACGAACCCCTCCAGGGCCCCACCCGCCCAATCGCGACGGACCGCCCGAGCATCGAGGGCGGCGACTACGTGGTTATCAGGAGCGACGCCCTTCCTCGAGCAAGGTGGTTCAGATCAGCGCAAAGCACCGAACCCCTGTCCACGCAGCCCCTGGACGGAGCAATCTTCGGACCCATCCTCGACGTTGAGTCCCGCGACCAGGACGGACGGACTCTGATCGTCCGGGTGGGGGGCGAATGGTTTGAAATCTGGGGCGCCGGGACCAGGACGCTACGCGTCGACGTCCTACGCGGCGCTGCGGCACGCCAAGCGGCCGCCTTCCTGGGCGGGCCCCCCGGCGAGGCGCACGCACCGCAGGAGGCAACGGCCACCGCCAGCTCCTGGCTCGGTGTCGACCCCGGGAGTGCCACAGCGGCGCCCGCAGGGACACAACCCAAGTCCAGGCCCGAATCCTGCGCGCCACCTACGGCCGCCTACGAGCCGCCGCCGCTCCTGCTCACTAAGGAAAATATCCCCGACTACACTAACGACGACCAGGAGGAGGAACAGAAACAGAAACTTGCAGAGGCCACAAGCATGGTCCACGTAGTCTCACCCTCCACAAACCCTGACACACACGAGCAGGGCCAAACCGAGACAAGCCCGCGGGAGACGCGACGCACCAGTTCCGAGCGCGACACAAGCAGTACGCACCAGGACAGCCCAGCCAGCGCACCCACGGGACAGACCGTGCACGCGACGGCTGCCGCTGACGACCGCGCCCTGCGCACGCGTTGGCGGCGCACTTCGCGCGCTGGACATGTTGTCGCCGACGATGCAACATGAGAGACCAGAGCGGGGCGCGGCGTACATCGCGCGCGTCCCTGTTTCGCGTCGACGTTGCTGAATACGCTGCAGGAATAGGACGCAGTTCGTGTCGCGCGCTGAACGTCTAGCCGCCCACGATATAAGATGAACGACGGGCGTCGGACGCGAGGCACTTGCTTCTTATGTTGCGGGAGGGCGGGTGGGAGTGGACGGAGCCCTCTGGCTCGCTCGAGCTGGCTAACTTGACCCCCGCCCCCACCCCCACCCCCATCCTTACTTCCTATGATTAAACAAAACCACATCCCCACCTAGCCGGCCGATAGCAAACCCGCCGTCCTAACTTTCATAATAATGATACCAGAGAAAAGCCCCAACCATAATCTTTTTAGGGCTGTAGGGCTATAGGGCTACAAGGCTATATGGGCTTTTGGGCGCTATATGGGTTATATGGCTATATTGGTTATAGGGCTCTTGAGCCATATAGGGCTATAGGGCGATAGGGATATGGGACTATAAAAATATAGGGCTACAAGGCACCGGGCACCCGGGCACCCGGCGCCCGGACACCCACCCGGGCACCCAAGCATCCGGGCACCCGGGCCGGCCACCGAATCAGCGGCGAACCCGGGCACCCGGGCACCCGGGTTCCCGGGCCCGGCCACCGAATCGGAGGCGAACCCGGGCACCTGGGCACCCGGGCCCGGCCGCCGAATCGGCGGCGCACCTCGCCAACCCTTAAATCCGTTAGGACCCCTACAGAGGCAAGCTCTGATTGGGGAAAAACACGGAATCACTTTTTCTCGCCAACTTGTCGTCGAGCTGCGGAAAAAGGTGGCAGGAATGGGGCGGAATGAACATCGCTTGGGTGGCCCTGAGCGGGCGGTCGCACCCTGCCGACCAAAAAAACAATACAATGTCAACGTTTCTCTCGTCAACGTGGACTTTCTTGTCGTCGACGCTGCGAAAAATATAGCAGGAATGGGACGCGGCGCGCATCGCGCGCGGACGCCTGGTCAACCCTACGCGGGGACCCCCGTCCTATCAAAAAACAACGCAACGTCGACGTTTTTCTTGCCAACTTTCTCTTCGTCGGCGCTGCGAATCGCGTAGCGGG